CGAGATAAAGGTTTTTCAACAAAAACCTTCATTTTTCCCCAGTGTTCGATTTTACACGATTTGCGAGCAGTTTTAGGTAAAAGTAACAATAGAATTAGGATCAGCAAGTGAAACTTCGTCGAACGATATATGTATAACTGGATGGTTCTCCAAAACACTTTTTTTTGACAAAAAACGTAGAGTAAGGGAACACTCTCGGATGTTCCGTGAAAAATTTGACTTCGTTTTTCTCAAAACTCGTGCTTCTCTGAGTAACAGAAACTAATATTTTGCCAGAAAATATGTTATGTCCATGTGCTGTATGTAAATTGTCTACTGCTCGGCTATCTGAGCAATACACTACATGCAAAAAACATGGTTGCATAAACTTTAGAGAGGAAGATGCGAAAAAATATGTTCCATTTCATCCGTCACAAGAATAACTAAACACGTTTCATCGTTTTTTTAGGAATCAATATACCACCTCCACCAGTTAAACGTCAAGCCAAATCTGTTACACGACAATGTAAGTAGATTAACATTACTCACAATTGAGTAGAATATCAAGTACTATAGATACATTTATTACATTGAATAGTTCGATGAAGAGGGAAACGAATAGTTTTTGTACTTTGGTATTTCATCATAGCGCTCAGAACTCTCGTTTTTTTCACACTTCTCGGCGTTTCTATTATTATGTCATGTCTTCTTTTTACAGAATTTCTAAACTATATCTTATATCATTTATTCCTTGTAGTATCTGAAGAATTTGTCGGCAATTTTAATATGTAAGGATATCCAATAATATTTTTAGTGAATAAATTACATTTTGATTCATTGCAGGGTGGATATTGAACATCCAGCTTCACCATTATCACAGAACAATAATTTATTATTAACAAGTCTTGCAGCAGGTCCACGTTGTGAATCATCAACCAATTCTGAAGCAATTCCATTTGATGAACTATCAAAAATTATTGAAGACTCTTCACTCAATCAATTGAAAACAACGTCTAATGTACCAACATCATCAAGTGAAAATTCAGCATCAGATGTGTGTAAATCGAGAACTCCTGTTGTATCACAAACTGCTAATGATTATTTTTCACCAATTGATGTAATATCAAAATCAAACATAAATGAATACTATTTACAAAATGATTTTATACCAATATTAAAAGCACCTTCACCATCAATTAAAAATTTATCATCAGAAGGTTCTGAATTAGTCCAAGATATTGTATCAAAACAAACACATAATGTTTATTCAGGAAATGCTTTAGAATCAGTATATGGAGCACGATCAATATCAAACAAAGATCTACTATCAACGAATTGTCGATTAACCTCATGCATTGAGTCTTCATGTATAAATGAAGATTTTCCAATTAGTGAATTGAAAATAATATCTGATGTACATTCATCTACAAATAAAAATTATGAATGTATATCCTCAACGTCCGAAAACAGCTCAACGGATATGGTGGTGGATCGAGGGTTAGAGCCGTCCAATATGGAGGTAAAAATCTTGTGAAGTAACTGTAGCTAGCTGCATATTTAGCGTTGAAAAATATTTCAGCTTTAATATTCATTTGTTTTTTAGATTGATGAACTGCCCGATTGGATATTGAAAGTTCTCGACGAACATAAAAAAGCCATTGCTACTATAAATAGAAAAATTGACGACCTGACACGTGAAAAAGATGACCTTGTAAAAAAACAGAAGAAAGAAGAAAAGAAATTGATTAAAGAGTGGTTAATTAAAGAAAACAAGTGAGCATGCGCGCTTATTATAACATATATGAACTCTTTCTTTTTTTTTTTTAATAGGGTATTAAAGAAAAAACAAAAAACAAAAAATTAACAGAAAACTTAAATGTTGTTAATTGAAATTATTGACATTATTCTCGATAATTTCATATTTCTTGCCCGTCAATAATTAACAGACAATTGTTTTTTCTTTGTTTTGCTGTTAAAAATGAAAATTGTAAATGTCATTTTCTAGTCAAATAAAGAAAGTCTTATTGAAGAAAATTGACAATTCATTTATATTGAATTTTTATTGATTGAAACAATGAGATATTTTCTGAATTTTCACAAGAAAGATGCCATCTGACCGTCTCATTTTAATTTAAAGTTTTACGAATAGAGAAGTTTTGTCAGGAGAAACTATGAGAAGAACTGCTATCTTATATAAGAACAATGTTCAAGTTCCACAAGGGTGTACGCGTCGGTGTGAGGTGGGGGCAAGGGGAAAGTAGCGAGCCTTTATGCACTTCAAAAAATATATGAAGTACGACTGAAATATCAGTGAAGAACGCACTCTTGAAGTCTCACTTTTTCCTTCTTGCAAAATTTTCTATGACCTTTCATTCTATACGTTTAATTTTTTGTTTTGTGTGCAATAGCATGTCATGATGCAGGGCATGACAGAATCCTTTTTTCTAAACTTTTCTTTTCAAGCTGAGAAAATCAATGACTAGTTCAATAATCCAAAACACTTCTATTTTCAGAATGTTTTTTCGCTATTGAATTTGCTATCCATTTTCTTCGCTTACAAAGGAAAATTTAGAAAAAAAGGGTTCTGCCATGCGCTACATCATGACATGCGCTTTCACTCAAACAAAAAATAAAATGTATAGAATGGAGATCCATAGAGAAGTTTGGGTTACCAAATGAACTGTTGTTGACTCTTGTTTAGCGAATATTTCCCTAAAGTGTCATGTTATAGGGCTGAAAGTTTTATCATAGTCTCTCCACGACGGTCCTAACATATTCTGAAAATTTTTCTCTGGTGTTCGTTACAGCTATTTACTGTTATCATGACGTGTAATCTAACCACAAAATTTGATGTGTCTAAAAGCTCTTTTTTTTTGTCCTCCGAAATATATGCAGAACTATTTATTCATTCTTTTAGATACTTCGTTTCAATGAGTATATCAAACTTAGTTAGATATTGTTCATTAACGCTAAGATTAATTTATATAACAGCTAGATCTTTACTACCAGTAGAATCAATCTACTGTATGTAAAACAAAGAATCAATGACATGATTTCCCTGAACAAGTTGCCAATGACTTTCACTATATGTATATATATATATATAGATGATACTCGACGATATGCTGGGCATGCTCATTGGCAAAATATTGCAAAAACTAAAGCTGCTAATGATCAAATAAAATCACGCGTTATCGGAAAATTATCTAGTAAAATTGTCACAGCTATTCGATCTAAGTATTCAAATATTAGATAGCAAAGAGGCATGTTGTCTGGATTCCATGAGTTCAGAATTCATAGAATAATTGAAAGTGCAACTTCATTCACAGAGGGTATGCATGTAAAGAGAACAGAAACCCACATCCTTCCAAGAGTTTCATGAGTGAAGTTGTACTTATGAGAGTTCCAAGAATTCAGAACCTACAGAATGCTAGAATTTTCGATGATTTTCATCATCTGCTGCTTGAAAAATATGCTTTTCTCAGAAAAAAGGGCAAAGCTTTGTCTGCTAATGCTTTTCTAAGCGTGCATTCTATAACTTTTGAAAAAACTTAATGGTAACAAGTTGCTTGTTTTTTTTGTTTGAAAGAGCATGTGAAGCTGAAGTGCTTGGCAAAGCACGTTTTTTTTATTATTACGTGAAAATTTACTTCTATAATTAGATGATCATTGTTTCAGAGTTTTTCGATCTATTCAGTTTGCGCTCTATTTTCTTTGCATAAAAAATAAGTGTTTAACATAAACCAGCGTTACACTGTGGTTTCTTCATTATAGTCTTAACGTATCCGGAAAATTTCATCTGATGTGAATGCATTCGATCCGAAACCGATTCTTGAGGGAAATCTTTAAAAAAAAGTTATCAGTGTTGCTTCTTAACGATAAATATATATAGGAAGCTTGAAGAAAATCTAATATCTTTACTTAGTTTAGTCTAATTTGGATTTCGTACTAGAATTAGGCTTATCAAATGTTCAATTATTGGTTTTGATTTGTCAAAATTTTCCATTGACACTCAGCTGATTCATCGATTAATTCGTTGTTAGCGCAAATAATTCTTCAAAGATTCTGATGATATGAAATTTAATCCAAAAATCCAACTTACTTATTGTGTTTCTTTCTTTCATGTAAAAAAAGAAAAAAGTCAAACTTGAAAAATTTTCTAGGAATTATAAACAACATTTCTCTCAACTACTATCATTCCAAAACAAGCTTTGAGACTCTTGACGAGTTCTGATATTTCGGAGGATTTATATCAAGTATTACTTTAAATTGATGCTGACTCTCGCATAGGAGCAACAAAACCTTTTGCTGACATAAGTTCATACAGTGATTTTGGTCAAGAATCAGAAGTTCTTTTTATGGTTGGTTCCCTTTTCCATCTTACACATATACATCAAAGCAATGGTAAAATTTGGACAATTCAGCTGACATTGTGCGGCAAACATGAGCAAGATTTGACAAATATATTTGAATATATGAAGGAACAATAAGGGATAGTGATGATGAAACTACTCTCCATAACTTTGACCAAGCAACGTAGGATATCTTAGGTCAGGATTCGAGTATTTCGTGAATGGATTCACGCATATAGGCGGCCAACGAATGAACTTGGCGGACCAAGATAGAACTCGATGAACTCTATCGAATGGATACCCAAATTTCCAGACATAATCTCACTATCACCGAAGAAAACTCGAAATGCTGCTAAAAAATACCAAAAGAACGTCTTCTTTCAGCAGAACCTGTCGCGATTCGCCCATTAATGGAACCAAGCGATGAAATCGACGGATCAAGGTAGAACTCGATGAGCTCTATCCAATGAACATCTTACTTACCAGATTCTGTATTCCTATCGGTCAAAAATTGGTCAATAGGACTCCGAAGGCCATATTTTTCTTCTAGAAGCTGTCCCCATTCGCTCACAAAGGAGACCAAGCGATAAAATCGATGGACCGAAATAGAACTCGGCGAGCTCTATCGAATTGACACCTGGCTTACCCGATTCCATGCTTTCGTCGGTCAAAGTTGGTCAATAAGACCCTGAAGCCATACTTTTCTACTGAAACCTGTCACGATACGTCCATGAAGGAGACCAAGCCACGAGATTGATGGATCAAGATAGAACTCGACGAACTCTATCGATTAAATATCTTTTATGTTTCATCTCACGCTCTAATCACTTACAAATCAACAAACAGAGCCCCAAATAATATTGTTTTTCGCTAAAATTGGTCGCATTTCCATCATAAACTTTTTCAGGGAAGACTATTAATGGTCCTAATATTTGCGAGGGCACACTATCAATTACAATGAGTATTGGCAACTTTGATAAGAACAAGTATTGAGATAATAGTCAATGGTTTCTACCAGTTAATTTGAAATTTGATGAAAAACTGATTATTAATTTTTTTCGTTCACTCAGCACGCGAAAAAATACAGAAGGCGTAATTTTCTGTTCAAGAATCGTTCCGTTTTAGTGCATCCTATATATATATGGACGAATGAAAAAATAATTCCTTGACTGATACAATTCCATGTAGAAGTAAAACTAGAAAGAAAAAACATGTTCTTAAAAGTTCTCATTAGTCGTGATATTATTCTCGCGAACGAACATGAAAAGGCAAGGAAAAAGTGTTTATTCGAGGGTTTATTTAGATAAATAGCAATGAAGGCACTAAAAAGGAGGCGACGCATGTACTAATCGATGTGGAGGGAAGAAAATGAGAATGTATTGACTGATAGATTTTTATCAGTGAGAGTTCTATCTCGATCTTTCAATTTTGTCGCCTGGTCCTCTTTGTGGGGGGATCCTAGCAGGCTCTAGTACGAAACCTGGTATTCGGGATTTTATTAGCCGATTTTTGACCTATGGGTAATTTCATTCATATCGTATGGACAACTGTTTATATGAAAATCCTTCATTTTAATATATTCTCTTTTATTTGACCAAAATCTCTCGACATGAAATGTTTTAAAGAAATTCTTTCAAAATAGAGTTGTGAAAACATGCTTATTCTCACCTCTGAATCATCATTAATAATTAGGAAAAATCACTCAATAGTTCATGTTGTCACATCATCATTATCGAATTTTCCAGCATTCTTTTATTTTTTATCAATTACAGTAAATTCTAATAGAAATACCGATCAAACCGTTTCTTCTTCATTGTCGAATGATGATAATAATGATTAATTATTTACATAAACATTGATTACTCTAACATTATCAACATCAGTTGGACCAACTATAATAATGATTTTATTGTATTGATATTAAACATCAAACATCTTCACTCCGCATCAATATTATCTATCGATATGACTGTTAGGAATAAACATCCGAATGTGACCTTTCAGCTACCATATCTATCAATTTAAATTTGAACAGTAAAATCATGGTAGCTATGTTCATCTTTCAGTAACAAATAACAATGTTCCATCAATACTATTTAGATTGTTTTAATCCTGTTAATGAATCATATTTACTACTTTGGTTTCTCTATATACAATCGTCCTTCTTAAAGTTAGTGAATGTTAGTTTTTTCGTCCTGTAGTTTTTCTCTCTAGATATATAAATCATTCCAAGTATTTTCGTTTCTTTTCTCGTTGTTTCGTCCGCTTATTTTCTGATAACTGACGGAATATTTCGTACACGATACTAGATATATAATAACGCTCGTCGTCTATTCAAAGTCAATACAAAAAAAGAAAAAACAATAATGGATGAATTATTGAAGCAAACGATAATCAATGAATTATTAGAAAAAATTAAAGCTATACAATATAATGTAAGCTAATATTTTTATTAATTTTTCGTTATTGTTTTGTCAACGTAGGAAATTGCTCTTACCAAGTTGGAGTGTGAAGAAAAAAAAAAATTTTGAAAGCTGAGGATGATTACAACAAAGCAAAGGAAAAAAAAGTTAATCGAGATGATCTTAAAATCTTCGAGAATAAAATGAACTTTCAAAAAGAACGTACAAATTTAGTTGTAAAGGCTGTTGAAATATTTGACAATGCGAAATATTCTGAAACAACACAAGCACCTGAAGCTGCTGTTCCTGTTGAAGAAGTAGCACCAAATGAAGTTGAAAAGAAAACTGAAGAAGTTGAACCAAAGAAAAAAGAAGAAACACAAAAAAAAACAGCTAGATCAAAATTAAAATTTCTTAAATATATTGCATCACAAAATTTGATGGAATGTGATTCACTTACACTTGATTGTACATGTTAAGGTTAGTATTGATTGTTTTTTATTTAAAAAATTTCTTGATTTTTTTTTTGTTGATTTAGGTCGTGATGATGATGATCTTGAATTAATATGGTTACGAAACAATAAAGAAATTCCTAAAAATCCAGATTTTCGTCATGAACGTGAAGGAAATACATTCAAATTAATTGTTACTGCGGTGTAAATATTTAAAAAGATTTTTAAAAATGATTTATTAAATTTGATTTATATAGATTTCCTGATGATTCAGGTATATTTTCAGCTTTACTAAAAAGTAAATCAACAAATAATGAACAACTTTCTTCTTGTTCAGTTATTATTCAAGGTAAAATAAAAATATAAGATATTTGATAAATCAAAAATCTTTTTTTAAGCTCGTGATAAAGAATCACTCGATCCTAGCTTTGTTCAATTTCCACAAAGTATTAGTTTAGAAAAAGATGGAAAAGCTAAATTTAATTGTAAAATATCGGGATCGACACCAATGACAGGTAAAAAGAATATTTCTTTATGAATTATCTTTTCTTTTTTTTTTAATAGCCCAATGGAATTTTAATGGTAAACGAATTGATCATTAATGAAATCGATTTATATTAACAAATGACGACACAGAATTTTCACTTGAAATTCCTGCTGTTTTAGCAACAGATCAAGGTCAATATTCTGTAATTATTTCAAATGATAAAGGACAAATTACAGCTGCATATAGTTTACATGTTGATCAATCATAAATATTCAATCAATCGAACAAATAAAGTGTTAGACTAACCTTGAGTTTGTTTGATTACATGATCTTGTCTTTTTCTTTATTTGTTAATTTTTTTTCTTTTATCTTCATTTATTTTCTTGAACATCATTATCATAAAACAACGTTCAATAAACATCTGAAATTCTAAATAGTGTATTTGGATCTTGATAAGCAGCATAGACTAGTGCATCTCGTGCTTTTTTTGGAATTAAATAAGCAAAACCAGATAGAAAAATTCGGCTGATTAGGACATAGAAATTCATTTATTGTAACAACATCATGAGCTCCAACTGTTGAATCGTACCCGGTCATTGGCAAGTTTTGAGACGCAAATCCGATCCAAACCGGCTTGAGTCCGAGTCTGGAACCAACCTAACAAACTCTACTCTCTTGCCATGTAACTATTATCTGGAAAAGCAATCATTTCTACATTGATTGTTATGATTGTGGAATATATGTTATTTTCTCGTTTTATTACAAAAGTGTATGAGAAAAGTAATGTTTATAATTGAGGAAAATATGAATGAAAATTTTCTGGACGAATAAAAGACTTATCTGTAACAAGATTTTTCAATTGTGTAAAATTGAGACGTGTTGGATCATTGGTGAAATTGTTTGTTATCATAACTAATGATTCATATTGGATTGTAAGATGTAACAAACAAGGCAAACGAGTCTTTCTTTCGAAGAGAAATTGTTCAACATAATCAATGTGTGCCAATTCAAGATTGAGAACAGCAAGATGAGGAAATGTAATAAATGTAAATGAATTTGTTTTATATTTTTGTGGTTCATCATTCTGTATCGATAATGTTTCAAGAAAAGGAAAAGATTGTGAGATAATTTGGAAAAATTCATGTTCAAAAGGGCGTATATCATCAATGATTATCACCGATCGAACTTTATTAAATATGCCACCTTTAAAAGAGTTAGTCACATTATGAAACATGTGAAATTGATATGGAAGTGAATAAATATGACATCGAGCTCTAATTTTCATTGTATTATCATCAGCATATGAACCAATTTGTTGACATCTTCTTTCGATAAAACTACGTTGGATATCATCGTTTGAAGGAAGAATAATATTGCTCTGTCTGTTGCAAGCAAGAGTAGTTATGCTGAAAGTAAATTTGTTTAGTCGTGGCATATGAATGAGAATTTCATTATTTAAATGAATGCCATCGATATAAGTCGAATTAATTCTTTTCACGAAAAGAAATAATGTTAGTTCTTCGAGATTTGGCATTCGACGAAATAGTGGAACAAACTCATGATAAAAAGATGTTAGTGAAATCGAAGTTAATGATAGGTATTTCAATTTTGAAATTTGTTTCTATAAAGAAAAGCATCATTTTTATTTTGATATAATCAAAATTATCTTTACCGTAGTATCTATATTCGATAATAGAGGTCTAATTTTTTCTATATCAATAATTAATATCGATAAACAATCGAAACGTCCATCAAGAATATAAAGACAATCGTCGAGAGTATTGACATCAATTTTCAACTTAGTTAAAGTTGACGATACACAGTGTGGTGAAAATACAGTAAAAAGTGAATTTGTTGAAGGGTCTCGATGGCATTGTACAAAAGTGAAATCAGTTAAACATTTGGCAAATGATAATACCATTACAAACAAAGTCGGTTCATATCTACCAAATAATTCAATTGTTCTAAACTCGGTCTTCAGATTAAAATGAGTAATTTGTTTATTAAGAAGACGAATAAGTATTGTATCACCTTAAACATACAAGAAACTGTTGCATCAAATTAAACAGAATTCTAAATCGCTTACCTATTAAATAGTTTAAAATGGTTTCCGGTACACAAACAATAAGTGATAATGAATAGAGTTGAGAATAATCAACAATATGTAGGAGACGTTCTATTGAAAGGTGTCCAAGAGTAAGTTTGTTTATCTGATGATGAATTCGAGGTAAGATACTTGTACAAAACCGATCGAGAAATTGACGATATTCCTGAGATTTATCATTAGCTGTAAAATCAAGATCACGAATATAAATAGAATCAAGTGCTAATCTATCAAATCGTTGATTTACATCCACAAGTGAATAAAGTATATTAATATTATTCAGCTTGTTCAAAATACAAAGTAAAATTTCGTCAGGTAAGTCGAGTATATTCATATCTAAGCGTAGTGTACTGTCTCCTTGTCTCAATGTCTCGCTCTATATACACAATACAGACAGATGTCAGCAGAGAAGCTCATCACTTATGAACGAATAAGAAAGTGTTCAAAAAAGACGTCCTCTATCTCAAATAGGTGTCATATGTGAACGAATGAGTTAAATCGAACGGTACAGATGGGAAATGAGCTCTTTGATCTGAAAAAAATGAAAAGAAAAAAAGAGAACTGGTCGTTCTAAGTATATGAAAGATTTATCTCATAATTGATATAAAACAATATATACTTTCTATTAAAAATATAATAGTTTCCGTTGTATCTCGGGGAAGCGAGTGTATAGAATGTTCAGAAAGTAATTCTACATAGATAAGTTTGTATGCATATCTTCGTCATATTTTAACCAAATGACCTAATATTTTAACCAATGCTAAAGGAGTATGCATAGATCATATTCAAAATAGAAACTTTGTCAAAAATTATTTTGAAGTAGTATAACTAATTTTAACAAAAAATGTAATCTTTGACGAGTTACAAAAAACAACAATATATTTCTTCACTTAGCTAAGAATAAACGACATCTAATTTTTTGTATTACTTCTTCACTCTAGTGTTATTTGGTCTCATACTTATACTAAAGATGTATGCCTTGTTACTTAGTGTACTCTGAAAATTTCAGCCATTGACAAACCTACAATAATTGTTTTTTATAACTCGTGAAAGATTACAGTTTTTGTTGACGTTAGTTGTACTATTTCAAAATGATTTTTGACAAAGGTTCCCTTATAAAGATGATCTATGCATACTCCTTTATCAATGATAAAAATATCAGATCATTTGGTCAAAATGTGGCGGAGATATGCATTTAAATATTTCTTTGTTGAGTTACTTTCTGACAGAGATGTCCATCGCGGCTGGAAATGTGCCGCTGCCGCTCCGCGATAAGTTTAGAAACTTCAAATCTTACCGCTGCCGCGCCACAATGCTTCGACAACTAAAGATCACCGCGCCGCTACCGTGACGTTATAAATAGTGCAATCTATAGGAAGCTCTCTGTTCTCTAATATAAAAACCGTTTTTGTAGCATGTAGCTGGTATGAGTTATTACGTCAAATATCAGTATGTGAAGAAATGGATAACAATCATAAGTTCCTTGGAGCTTCAATTGAAGAACAAACATACAGCAAATGACCGGGAACATCTGAACACTTGAAATATTAAATTACTTAGGGTTGACCAAAAGTTCTGATCACGGCGTTACTTAGCCATATAGTACGCTTTAAGAGATTTTCTTTCTATATGGTCTGATAGAGAAAAGAATGCTCTGTTTTTCTATGCTATTTGATCATACTTCAACTAATTTCGTGATAATAAATTTTCGATAAGACTTTTTTTCGTTATCATTTGTGCTGTAGTACTAGATGACAACAGCTGAGGCAGGTTAGTTTTCAGTGCCTCAATCCATTGTATTAACAACCAAAATATACCATAAGATGTAGCGTGAAAAGCTCTATAATCTATATAAAACCGATTACTTTATAGTTGCACTTTTCGTTTTCAATATAAACAAAGTCTTCAGGGTCCAAATTTTGGGCATTGCAAAAATTGATCCAACAGAATTTTCCTTCTTTTGCAAACAATTACAATAAGCTTTATTATGAAGATTGTAGAACATGTCGCGCTGCATCTTGTGGTGTATTTTGTTTTCGTTTGATAAAGCATATCAGGTGACGAAATGATGAAATAACAAAAAATGAAGACGCCGTGTTTCAAAAACATTACCAATTTTGCATGATCGAAATTTGATCGCCCAAGATTTTGCCCATTTAGAAAAAGAAAAGTGCAACTGTAAAATAAGTGGTCTTATGTAAATTGTAAAGCTTTTCACGCTGCATCTTGTGGTATATTTTATTTTTTAAAACAGCACACTGTATGATAAAAAAATAAAATACAAAAGGCGGCAATTTATTCTGCCGCATCCGTTAGAATTGAAAATAATTCATTTACTTCTTTGGAGATATATCTGACGTTTAAAACTTTTACACCTAATAATGCTTCGAACATTTTCGTGTGTATAGTTACTTATGTATATAAATTATAAATGTGCTAGAATATGAATTCTTGAAAATCTAGTAACATGCTCCTACACAAAGTCATCATATAATTACATGATGCTAACCTTTATATTTCTATTAGCCGATTAAAGTATAATGAAAATGTAATGATTGAGAAAGAAAAAAATTGGTTTGCTTTGAATCATAGTAAAATAGTCTACTCAAGTATTAGATTTTCTCGGAAAAAATCGAAATTTCAACCGCTGTCGCGCCGCACCGCGACGGTAAAACACAAAATTTGCCGCTGCCGCAACGCACCGCGATGGTAAAAACACAAAAGTTGCCGCTGACGCCACGGCGATAGCGGTGCGGCAGCGGTAGCACCACCATGGACATCTCTGCTTGGAGCAATATAGGTAAAGCTAGGTTTTTACTTCTTGATGTTTTACAATCTTTTCGAACATCCATCAAAATTGTTTGACCTAATAAGTATTTAGACATTCATAATAGAGAGGTCTTCGGCCATGTTATGAATTATAAGTAAAAATACGATCGTTTTATAAAGTCACATGTACAAGTAACTTCCATAAAAGCTGTATAGATCGTTGTTGCATATGGAGTGACGAATCTGTAGCAATTCGAGAAATCTATGATTTTTCTTAGAACCTGAATTTTGGATTAAATGAAATTTTATTTACATCTGTCTTTGTTACTCTCACTTTTTCGTAACTAGAAAACCAATTAAATAATCAATTGTTCTATTAATGTTTACTTTGCCAAATTCGTAATTGATGTAAGCGCACGTACGATACGCGTCACAAATTCTGAAACATGTGAAAAGAATAATTTGATTGAGAAAATTCTTCATAAGAAGTACAGCTAAAAGAATTCTTTGTAAGTATTATACTGCGTTAGATAAGTTGTAAAAGAAACTGTGCTGTTTTTCTTGAGGTTCCCAATAGGCTTTTCTTCACATGTATCTATAGAATCATCATTACATTCTTTTCTTTTTTGCTGTAACTACTAGTCATTAGTGATTTTCGTTGTCCATGTTTCGAAAGACATTCCTTTGCTGTTGCGGACACTTGGAAAAAACCGTTTAAAACAAAAAGCTGAAATCAAACTGATTTATAGTGAAATTTGACGCAAAATGGTTGGATGATTTTACATTTTCATATATCTTAGAATTTCTCTTAATATATATTGATCATTCGTCATTAGACTTCTGCGTGACCACGATTTTTCAGTCACGTCACGTCACGGTCACGAGCTGCCTGGTCACGGTCACGTTCATAGTCACGGAGATTTTTCGAAACTAGTCACGATCACGTCACGGTCACGAGCTAGCTGGTCACGGTCACGTTCATAGTCACGGAAATTTTTGGAAACTAGTCACGGTCACGAAAATTTTGGATTACTAGCTGGATTTTTGTGCTACAAAATCAAGATTTAAATTGATTTCGTAGGTTTTCCCTGTAACAAAACAAAGAAAACCCATAAATCAATTAAAATCTTGATTTTTTTTCACAAAAATCAGACTTTTAGTATCAAAATTTTTCATTGTTAAGTCACGATCACGAGCCATTAGGTCACGGTCACGAGCCATTTGGTCACGGTCACGAGCTATTTAGTCACGGTCACGATTCCAGTCACGATAATTTTTCGAAAACTAGTCACGGTCACGGTCACGAGACGCCGTGACCGTGACCATTTTGCAGAAGTCTATTCGTCATCTACGTTTCACATAAAAGCGGAGAAATAAAGTTTATTCGTTCAACAAAAGGATGGTGTGTGGGTGTGATTTGGGAGGCTATGAGTGTGATTGTGGATGAAGGTAAGGTCCACCCACACCCATCTTATATCATGTTTTCTTTTTGGATAATTATTCAAAAAAGGAAATTCAAGGTAATGCACTTTACGAAAATAAAAAAGAAAAGTTATAAAAGAAATGAATTATTATTATAAACGATAAAAACAAGAACAATCAACTCCTTATCTATAAGTTGGAGTGGAATTTCTTTTCAAAATAAAAAAAGCTGTTAGCGTAATCCCTGCGTGATTAAAATGTAAAACACGATCTAGCTGCTTTTCCTAATTGCAGGGGAATTTTTTAAATTTATCTATTTCGAGGCACATTTCTAAAATATTGTTTTACCCATTCCTTCAAAACTGAAATCAAAAATTATTTTATACATTATAATAAAACGTTATTGATGCGTGGTCTTTGATCTTATATCAACAGTCTTTTATACTCAATGATTGCTTCTCGGAGTGTTTGCGAACATATTAGACGTGTTAGTCATCGTCTGTGAGAAGTATTCTATTATCAACTAATCCTTAATTATGAGGTGAATAATCAGTCCCAAAGTAGCCGTTAATTAATTAACTACTTAATTAATTAGTCACTAACCCTAATTAATAAGATGTTAATTAGTTATTAACTAGCTAATTAATAAAATGTCTGTCACGGTCTGTGATGGTTGCTAAGGATGTCTGTCACGGTC